AGAGCTCATTCTGCAACTGCAAAATTGTTGGATCTAGTTTAAATACAAAAACCCCTACCACTTCTTAGATACTTGAATTATTCCAGCAATTTATTCCCCTTTGTTGAGTTAGGGAGTCCTACCAAAAGCCCAGATAAATAAAGGGATGCTTTTCAACACATCTTCTGTTCACTGTGACAGGAAAGACCGTCACATTCCTTTCAAACAGTGATCTCTTACTGACTTTTATGACAAGCACAGTAACTAATTAACAAACCTCGGTGCACAGTTTCCAGTACTTTAAGCTGTAACGGACAAGTAACCATCTTCTGAAATACATAATGAAAGCTGAAAACCTTTGAGGGGGCTGCCTACACAATGTGTTCATTCTAAAGAGACACATTTGTGTTGACACAACCTAGACTCAGTTCTCAACTATTCTAGACAAAGAGAACCTACTGCCCAAAATTAAAACATTTTCTTTCAAAAGTTCTTGGAAAAAAACAGGGCTTTAAAAAATCTACGTAGTTTATAAAGTTATTCCAGATGAAAGGTACCACGTGTTTTCACAATATTCTTCTCCATTATGCGGAACAATTCAAGAAATGAATCTTGGGTATGTTATTAAAATCCAATACATGTATTTTTTTTTTTTCCCCCCATCAGACTCTTCTCCCTTTGTATAGAGATACAATAGAGAATTGGTACTTGCTGAAATCATTTTGCAACGGAAATTATTTGGCCATTTTTGGTTAATTGAGCATTAGAATCACTGGTTTGACCTACAAAAACAGGCACAAAACAAAAAGGAAAACACTTCAGGCAAACAATTAGTTCTCCTTCAGGCACAGAAGTTCAAGGTGGTGGAAGGAATTAACTAGGGGAAGACTGAAACATAGAAATTAACCACATGGTAGGCAGAAAAAATGCTTAATTGAACTTGCCTCTCATCCTGCTTCCTTCTATCCTGTACAGTACATGTGTAAAAAAAGACTCGGAGTTATCAATCGCTACATTACATACACTGTTGTTGTTTTAGCTTTTGTTCTAAAAATGCTGGTTTGTTCCCTTTCCTCCTCCATTCTTCAGTGATCAGTGAATATGCCAAGAAACCATAGAAATAGTGATTACTGTTGTAACTGGTAAGTCAAAGCTATCTTTAAAACAAAAAAATAAAGCATATGCAAAACTTACACTATTTATGTGCTCTAGCTTAAAAAAAAAAAGAAACGAAGTATTTTTGGTGCTATATTATTTCTGGCATTGCAGAACAGGCACTCTCCTCTGCTTACGTGTGTCACATCCACTATCCTGAAGGCTCATGCAAAATAAGAAGCATAAAGAATTGCATAGGGTCATGGTGCAGAATGGGTTATGCGAGAGCTGTTCTCATCCAAGTAGCTTTCCTTGTTTTACCAATGCAGGAATCAAGAAAGGGAAGGGGGAGTAAGTGATCTTTATATCATTATTAAAAGAAATGGCACCTTCAGTTCACACATTTTTGCTGGAGAAAAAACAAGATGCAACAAATACACAAGACCAAAATATTGTATTTTCGAAACACAATAGAATGATAGCCATGGTTTGATGTGTATTGCGTTTACTTTGATAAGAACTGGAAAATCCAAACCTGTTCAGCTAAGCCAGTTTCTCTCTGTAATATTCACCCCATCCTTTAGCAAACAATCAGTGTTACACAGTTTAAAACCCAAATGCACCTTAAAGAATGCACTAATCACCAACCACTCTGTAGACCATGGTAATTAAGTGAATCAAGATCTTCCCCGGAGTTTTGGAATCAGCTCCTTACTCAGCTGCTACAATGTCAACAGCTGGCACAAATTACTGGGAACATTTGGCTAACTGGATAATAAGGAGGACAGCCTGTGGTTGGTCCAAATTCTACTTCACTGATCTGCCTCAATAAAAAAAAAAAAATCTCATTAGATCCTCCTTTACTTTTTTTAAAGCCATAACAACACTACAAAGACTGGGGTTTCTATTTTATTCCCTCATTATGTACAAACAATGTAACCGTACAACTCTCAGATGTTGCATGGGCTAGTGTAACTGAAGCCCCAATTCCCTATAATTTAATAATGCCTGTTTGCAACACTGATTCCTCCTCACCCATACCACATCTCTCTCTTGGCTGGTGTGGTAAAGGTTTGCTACTCTGAATATATTTTTCTACTTGCTAGCAAATTATCAGCACAGATCACAGTAACAAAACCCCAAAACTATGCTCCCATCTAACTTACTGAAAATATTCGAGATGCCAAGGTTTCTCCAAACCACAGCTTTGTTATGAGGCAAAGTCAAATTATATTATTACAGACCCACACAACCAAATGCCACCCACTGTCACTTTGTTACATTTATTTGCTTTGTGCCCTGCAGCTATCAAATTCTTTCCAGAAATCAATGTAGGAACCCAGTTGTAGTGTAGTAACATGCTCAAAAGCAGTTTCGCACACAGTATCTAGTGCGTCCAAGTTCCAAATGCATCTTTACCACAGGAAGCGGTGGGGAACGGCCATGTTTACTAGGCTGTCCTTTTCCTTTCAACAGGTAACAGGGAATCTGAAGAAAACAGCTTCTCAGATTACAGTCCCTGGACAACTGCTCAAATCAAGAACAAGTCTGATGTAAAGCAATTACCCTGTTATGGCCAGGCATTAACAAACCCCCCAGGTATTCAGATAAACTCTGCATGCATGTTACGTAGTCAGAGCATTCAGTTAGAACTGCCCTTGAAAAATATTGGATTATCCACTACCTTTACTTCCAAAACCAAACATTTAAAGTGCTGGATTTTTTTCTCCTCTTTGATCAAAACAGCATTGTAACTTTTGAGGTAGCAGAGGATTAGTCCAATGTAGTATCATGGCTAAAGCTAAAAACAAACAAAAAGCTAAACCAATTTTAATTTCTTTTTTTTAATCTTTGCTGAGACTATTCTCAGACATCCCATGAATTCTAACAAGCATCGTGTTAGTATGAACATCTGGTAGCTTAGTGGTACGGTAACCCACACTTTTGCCAGGAGCTACCGAACAGATGTCACTGAAAGGCTTTTTAATTTAGAAGTGCTGGTTTCATAAAATTATCTAGTGTATTTCAGTAACTCACATTTGTATTATGTTGTACTTGATTGGGATAACAAGAAACACAGAACAGTATTAGAATTCACATATCATCACCGTCATCGTCATAGTGAGGGCCATCACTTGTGCATCATTCTTAGGCAGAGAAAGCAATCTAAGCGAAGGTCAAGCCAGCAGGATAAATGTGGCCACTTCCTGGATTTCAATCATGCCAGTCATAAGTAAGTCACCTTTTGAAAGGTAGTTAATCCTCACTGTAGGGGCTAGAATTCAATAGCAGACAATTGTGGCAGGTAAAAATTATAAATAGCTTTTAGATTCTTCCAGCCTTTTATACCCATACACAGTTACGGTGATTTCCAAGAGAATTTGTACTATGACAGTAAAGAATGATGTACAGTGTTGTTGAAACAGGAGAGAGAAAAGAATAATACATACCTTTTTACAACTACATTTTCCAAGCAATGTGTTTTATAACTTAAAACACCTGCAAGAAAAAACTGTTGATGGGTGGCCTTTTCAAGAAATAAACTCTTACACATAAGAGCTGGTGGAAGAAAAGCAATCCTAAATATAATAGATAACATCGCACTTTCAGACTCGGAAATTTCCCTCCGATCCACAGAGACACTGACTCTACAGCTCAGGGCTTACTGAACAGAGCATTACAATGACTTGACTTCGGTGCATTGGGAATCACTGACAACGAATGCACAATTACAGGGCCGAAAATATTCTAGCATTACCCTCCTTAAAGATTACTCCATACAAAAGGAAAATGAAAACAAAAATAGTTTTCTTAGGACACTTCTCAACTGCACTACTACAGGAAGAAGGGGGCACCAGCCCATGAGAGGAAAGGCTCACATGAGTGAATCTAACTCCCCTCCAGCTTCTTACCCTACCACAGGCAACAGACATCCTCACCTCAACAATGCCCAACTGCTAACAAGCAAACAAGAGGAAAAGTGTTCGCAGGGTATTGTGAAGAAACGTAATGGAGGATTTCTGTAGAAGATCCTTCTAGCAGTCTGAAGTAAAAGGAAAAGCAAGAAGGCAGCATCTTAAGAAAAGAATGAAGGCGGTTTGGGTTTTTAAAGGAGATAAAATGAGACAAAAGCAGGAAATACAGTCCTTCCTTTATCCAGAGAACTTCTTAATGAAAGGTCAAGTATAGCCATCAATCAAGATAAGGAAGAGGCGACCAAAGAGATAACCTTCTTTCAGGGGAAACACGTATGTATCAGATAGCACTTATACACTGATGTAGTCCTCCTCTGTCTATGTGACAGAAAAAGAGAACACAGTTTCATGCCGGTGTTTCAAAAGAAAAAAAGTGAAAATTAAGCACTTGAGATAGAACAAAATCAGACATGCAAGAGCCTGTTAAGTCAAAGACTAGCAGCCAAGGAAAAGCTTGCTTCCAAAATTTGTGAGGATTGCAATGGAATTCTATTCCTCACCACCCCCGCACTTTGGCACCTGGCTTAGGAGATGGACCTCCTTGGGGCAGCCACCCTGACTAGTTTGTTAGTGGTAAGCTGCAGGACTCATTACGTGGACTTTAAGCTTCTGGTTTAAAGTCTGTTGCTTTTCTGCAAGACAATACTCCATTTTCAGTCATGCTTGACCTCACAGTTACAAGATTGATTTATATTCTTCCCTTGTGAGTTATGCTTATGATGTCCTTTTTGGGATGAAAAAATCGCATTGCGTGGAATTGCATCTAAAGTAAATAAAATCAAACATCCATCAAAATCAAATGTAAGTACAAATACTTCTCAAACACAAGCCTTATACAGTTCTCCTTTCCTGGCTTTCTCAGCCAACAACAGTTCATTTCTATTTCTTGGGCCAGTTATAAAACATGAATTTGTTTCAATACCACTCTTCAGGACAAAATAACAAGTTTACCAGCTCTCGAGGTAGAAAGGCCTCCTCCTGACGAGCCACAATCAGACAGACAGTCTCCCCTTGCTTTGTGCTCCTCAGCATAGCTACAAGCTCTTCCTGGGTCCTGCCAGTGATGTCCCGTCCATTCACCTACCAGACACAAAAGAACAGAGGATGTCATATCCGTGAGTATGGCTGTCTGTCATGTTCCCCTCACCTTACACAGGTGTCACTCAGTGACTCAGAGCAAAGAGGAATTAGCTACAGCTCCCACACTGTCTCCCCCCTTGGCCCTGCACAAATCACTTAACCTTTTTTCCCCTCATTTTCACCTTTTGTTAAAGCAGGTCTGTAGTACTTACTCACCTTGCAGGGGGTTTGTGAAGCTTAATTAGTTTGTAAAGCACTTTGAAGATGAAAAGTACAAAAACAAGACCTAAGTATTATTAAAACTGTTTACCTTAAGAGCTTTTTGAAGTTAGTAAGTAGAAATAAGCCATTAAGCTTATTTTGTGACTGTAAGTTTGTGACTGAAAATTTTAAACAGACCAATTTGAGCAAAACTGCCTTAAAATCAGCACTTAACCACCTTGATATTAATCAGAGATTTTTGGACACGGCTGAATAGACAAGACATGTTTTGTTTCTAAACTGATACATTTATCTGCTTTAAGAACCAAGACGTTATCAGATCCCCCTTGTTCAAACATCCCATGGGCCCTTGTGAAAAGCACCTTTTTCCAAATCGTAGTGTTAAATATTCATTGACAACAGTACAAAAGCCATGAGATTTTAAAAAAAAAAACATCAAGAATTTTTATTCCATACGTCAGTAGTATGCATATGGAAATAAATTATTTATACCCAAACCAGCAATCAATACTCAGCAATGCAAACACAACAGATGTTTATCCTAACCTCTAGGATTCTGTCTCCTGACTGCAAACGACCATCTTTTACTGCTGCACCTTTTGGTAAAATGTTCTTCACAAAAATCGGACCAGGACCATGTACTGAAGAGTCTCTGGTAACCACAGTGAAACCAAGTCCTTCTGGACCTAGAAAGGTCAGATAAAGAACTCCTAACACAAATTTCAACAAGCAAATGATGATCATTAAAAGTAAGTAAACAATGTCAGTAACATATCACAGACACTCATTCACATTAGCTCTTAAAAAAAAAAAAGCAAACAAAAAGCTGTAAACACGGGCCTGTTTTCTGCATGGTCTAGAGAAGAATTCTATCAATGTCAGAACACATGCTCAAACCCTGCTGCAACAGCTACAGATGGAAATACTTCTGGATAGCCCACCATAACACAAAACAAGTGAGAACTCTCATTTTAAAGCATTTACCTTTTCTCCAGGTGGTTTTAGTATCAGCCTTCGCATCATTGTCAATAGTCTTTGAAACAAATTAGAGCAATCAGAATTGTTTATTTATGAGCACGTTTTACTGAAACTTGGTGAAAAGTAGGAAGTGTCACAATTTGAATATAAAAACTGCTGACTATATGCTGTTAAGAAAGGACAAGTGGTATTTCAAGGCTTCCTTTTGTGAAGTTGTTTTCTGCTTGGAAATCAACAACCTCAAGTGTTAATAGATAAATGCTTTAACAAACAATTTATGAGTAAAATCAGTATCAGCAAGTATTGCTTATAAGCCACCAAAACCACCCAGGAATAGCAGAGTCCATAAACATCTTTTTATATTGAGCAGGATTGTTACCCATGTGATAGTTTTCAGAGATATCACATCAGTATCACATTCCTATAATTTCTAAAAATATAAATTACTGTTTCAAACCCAAAAGCATTACATTTAAAATGGGGAAAATTCTGTAGTAGGCATTGTTAACACAAAGAGTTCAGAAGTAAAAATGAGTTATTTAAGTTAAGAAATAACAGAAATTAAGAAATGACAGCTTGATTACATTCATTATGTGTTAAAAGAATAAAGTTACAATTTTAAAAGGGCCATTTCTAGTATCAATTTAACTCTCAACCAAATCAGAGACAGAAATTAAACAGAAAATATAAATGCCAATTGGGGTCTCCTTAAGCACATTTTACTACATGTGTATAAACCTGCTACTCCATGCAAAGACAGACATCTGTATGGAGCAGCAATTAAAGATACACACACAAAATTTGGCCTGCTGACAGCTGAATAAATACAGATGGAAACAAAAGCTTTTTAGAAAATCAAAAAGGGAAAGACAGGTAAATCTGTGGTCAACTTCCTGGATAACATGAAACAGAACAGGGTATATTTTTAAAAGTATGCGTAGACAATGTCGTAACAGTGCTGGTCAATTAGCAGATATGAACAAAAATAACAAAGGTTAGCAGCAGACAGTTCAAATTTTTATTCCATGCTTATGAAAAGGCTGAAGCATCTCTTAATATTGCATGTTGCTAATGAAATACCTTCTACATAATCAGTAACCGAGATGTTTCAAAAATCTGTAAGTCTGGGTAACACGCATCCAAAATTTATGAGAAAGCTGACTGTTGAGAACATTACTGTTAACGTTCCTTTCCCCTTTGGAATATTATTTTACCTTTTGGAAGTTTGGGAATTCTTAAATTGTAAATAACTTGCTTGTACTTATAATGTCACTACTTTGGTTAAAAGTTAAGGTATCAACACAGAGAACATGAAAGAGAATTAATCATATCATCTCCAAAGTCTTACCTTTTTTCAGGTCTATCTTTATTTTCTTTGCATTTTTTTTATTGCCAAAACCCATAAGGGGAGACAGTGAGGGAGAAGATAACTTTCTACCCAAACGTGGGAGGTTGGGGCTCTTAGATTGCTGTAGTGTTGGCTGTACACCTGCCTCCAAGTTGCTTGCTCCAGAAAGATTAATTGTTTTCAAAGTAGGTTTTGGATGAACAGGAGGTGGAATCTTTGTTTTCGGAACTCCTTCTTCATTACCCAGAAAACAAAGGGGAGCAATAGCAGACTTCTCATACTGTTCTCGATTATACGGAGGAAGGACTTCCAACATGACACTTTGAAATTTCATTGCCTGACGGAAGATGTCCTGAGCCCTTTAAAAGAAAGGTATGAAAATTCACATAACAAATCGGAAAAATTGGGCAAAGTTTGAAATTGTTTACAGAGAATAAGATAAATTTTTCTCTTAAACATGAAGAAATAATCTTACTTTCACATCTACAGGGTGCCTTTTCTAAAAGTACGCGTGAAATAAGACTTCTAAACTACTGCATTTCCTTACATTTCAAGTAGGAGCAGCACGTCTGTCAGGATTCCTAGGCTGTTATGAAAACGTATCATCCAGAATAACCTAACAAACACAATTCTTCATGTAGCACATCAGAAAAGGAAGTTCTGATAGCAAAAGCTCATCAAGACACTCCTGAAGTTACAGCTTGCTCGTTTTTTCAAGTATCTGTCCGTTACATATTTTTTTGTTGGTATAGAGGCATACTGAGCACTTATGACCAACTGCTCTGATAGATACCTCTACTACAAGCAAGCTCAAGACTTCCTTTTTTCTGAGTACAGTCTAATTGCCACTCAGATTCCTTCATCATCCCTAATGCCACTGCAGGCTGGTACCACACCAATAAAAAAGAATGAGGGTATGAGGTATAAGGACATCTTCAGAAGAAATACTGTCACTGCAAATGGTGCAACAGAAAAGGATGATGGTATGGGATATATAAACATCAGAAAAAAACACGGTGACCACATAAGGTGCAACAATTTGTGTGTTTCTGCACAAATTGATAAATGAATAGGTAGATATTACGTCTTTCAAGCAGTAACCTCTTGATAAGGTGGATACGTGGACTTTACCTAATCAGTGTCTTCATAGATGTGGTCAATTGCAACACCAGAAACTGCATTAGAGCACTCAGTGAAACTACTACCCTTCTCTTAGAAAGTTTTGGGTTGGAAGGGACCTTATAGATCATATAGTTCCAAACCCCCTGCCATGGGCAGGGACACCTTCTACTGGACCAGGTTGCTCAAATCCCCATCCACCCTGGCCTTGAACAGTGCCAGGGAGGGGGCAGCCACAGCTTCTCTGGTGCCAGTGCCTCACCACTCTCATAGTAAAAAATTTCTTCCTTATATCCAGTCTAACTCTACCCTCTTTCAGTTTAAAGCCATTACCCCTTGTCCTAACACTCCAAGTCCTTGTCAAAAGTCCCTCTCCAGCTTCCTTGTAGGCTCCCTTTAACTACTGGAAGGCTGCTATAAGGTCTCCCTGGAGCCTTCTCTTCTCCAGGCTGAACAGCCCCAACTCTCTCAGACTTTCCTCATGGGAGAGGTGCTCCACTCCCCTCTGATCATCTTCATGGCCCTCCTCTGGACCTGCTCCAACAGGTCTATGTCTTTCCTGTGCTGAGGGCTTCAGAGCTGGACGTAGGACTCCAGGTGGGGTCTCACCAGACTGAAGCAGAGGGGCAGAATCCCCTCCCTTGCCCTGCTGGCCACGCTGCTTCTGATGCAGCCCAGGATGCGGTTGGCTTTCTGGGCTGTGAGCGCACACTGCCAGGTCATGTTGAGCTTCTCATCAACCAGCCCCCCCAAGTCGTCCTCCCCAGGGATGCTCTCAATCCAGTCTCCACCCAGCCTATATTTGGGCTTGGGATTGCCCTGACCCATGTGCAGGACCATGCACTTGGTCTTGTTGAACTACATGAAGTTCACACAGGCCCACTTCTTAAGCCTGTCAAGGTCCCTCTGGATGCCATCCCTTCCTCCAGCGTCTCGACTGCACCACACAGCTTGGTGCTGACAGCAAACTTGCTGAGGGTGCGCTCAATCCCACTCTCCATGTCGCCACCAAAGATGTCAAACAGTGCCGGTCCCAATACCGACCCTTGAGGAACATCACTGGTCTCCACCTGGACATTGAGACATTGACTGCAACTCTGAGTGCAACCATCCAGCCGATTCCTTATGCACTGAGTGGTCCATCCGTCAAATCCATGTTTCTCCAGTTTAGGGACAAGGATGTCATGCGGGGCAGTGTCAAATGCTTTGCTCAAGTCCAGGCAGATGACATCAGTTGCTCTTCCCTTATCCATGAATGCTGTAACCCCATTGTAGGCGGCCACGAAATTTGTAGGCATGATTGGCCCTTACAGAAGCCACACTGGCTGTCACCATTTTTCCATGTGCCTTAGCATAGTTTCCAGGAGAATCTGCTCCATGATCTTGTGCGCCACAGAGGTGAGACTGACTGACCTGTAGTTCCTTGAACTGATTAACACAGTAACAACCCAGTGTTCGGGTTCCCATGCATTGCAAGGCAATTAAGATAAGTTGGCCAAAGCAACCGTTCATAAAGTCTTCTCTGGATTTTGAATAACCTGTAGATTTCGCCAGTCAAGACATTTTACGAACCTTGGATTCTAAAGGCACAAAGGAGACTTCTCTCTTTCTATGCTTTCCTCTCATACCTTCCAACGAAGCAGGCTGATTTTCTGTCATACTGCAGAAGACAACTCAAGTACAGACAGACGTAGTAGCTGAAGTACATTTTGAGAATGAAAAATCAAGAACTTCTGCTTCGCAGAATTGTGTCAAGAGGGGAAGTAATGGCCACATTAGTTTTTAAACAAATCATGGGGTCCTTCTGAGAACAATTTACATATCTTCTACATTTCTGTAGCGTGTTCACCAGTCAGGGAAAGCCAGTATTTCACTGAAGTTTTGGCTTTGGATTTACACTCAGCTATGCAACAGCAAACTTGAAAGTACTTCCAAAATAAACAGTTTTTTACACTGATACAGAAAGGAAGCCACCACAAATGTTAACATCTTGAATGCGCTTCTACAGCTTTTCCAGATCAAGCGAGCCACACAATACCTCCACCTTGCAGCTGCAGGCAGTGGAAGGGAGGGGCTGTTTCAAGAGGGTTTTTTGCAGCATGAAGACACTGAAGTCAGAGGGCAGTCCCAATGGATAGTGCCGTGGGAAAGAACCATCTTGGCTAGACTCAGTGTATGTGCACCAAGAGTCAGAGCAACCGCACTCATTGACAAGAGCCACTGCCAGAAGACAAACCTCAAACTTGGCAAAGAAAGGTAGCAGGGAGAGCATTGTGGGAAGGTATTCTTCCAGCACCGCCCTCAAGGGTTAGTTTCCAGAACTGTAACAGCACTGTCCCAGTGTGTCTGCAGGGGTTATAGGTTACCTGCTCACCTGTAGCCCATGAAGGTTTTCCAAGGACAGACCTTACCCTGATCATAGAAACCATGGCATGCTCCCAGCATAAGGTTGTAAAGCCTTAAAAGCAGGTTTCTTTCACACCCCATCTTCATCCTTGCAAATAGCCACTTGGCCATACGTTACAAGGTAATTTAATAACTTAGTTTCAGGAGATTAATATTTTAAATATACGAAATAGAAAATGTAAGATCTCCTTGGAAAAAAAAAAAAGTGGAAATAAGACATCCTGTGGGAAAGCCTAAATGCAGTCTTCAGGGGCAAAATAACTGGCTGCACTTCAAACAGAAAAAATAATGGATGGAGAAATTTACATTTCTTGAGATTCCGAACGCATACTTTAAAGAAATAAGGGAGTCAATTAAAAGAGGTGCTAGAAACTCTGCAACACAACAGAAAGTAATTGAATAGATAAACAGGCAATGAAAAAGCAGACCAACAGTCCCAATATATAAAACTATTATAAACATGGGAATACAAAAAGTAGGCCGCTGCTATTACAGCTGCAGAAGCAGCAATCATCAGGACCTATTGTAAAGTCTCTGCTGAAAACTGAAAGAGACACTATGTAACAGTCTCCATTAAGTGTTAAAACAGCTTTTACATGGGTTATGAAAAAATGTCAACCTGACACTAGCAAACAGATTTTCCTCTCAAAGGAGAATCTGATGACTATTTCTGGGTCAGCAGTGACTGGGACAATACTTGGTGACAACCATTACAACTACTGCTTTTCTGTAACTTGGACTTCTGTCAAGTTAGTCGAGTTACATCATGCCAGATGAAAACTAAAAGCCATAGTCACTTAGTTTCAACCCAGAAAGCTGCTTTCTTTAGCCATTCTCAACAGCCAAGGAAGGGGGATGATGCAGAAGGCTATTCTGAAGGCAATTCAGGAGAACAATGTAACATGACGTGGGCCTAGGCTAGAGCTTGTCCAAACTACTCCCCCCAGTCCCCAAATGGATGTTGAGTCATCACAGCTCACTGCAACCACACTACTTGCTATTGTAACATAAGGTGAACCAGACCAACTAAATTAGGCTCTGCTTTGAATCACCTTCGTCACTCCTCTCTTTCACTCACCCAGTGCCAGAGAGATTGCCTAACAAGACTGGCCTCTCTAAACTAACAATTGTCTTTGTAAATATCCCTTCCAACTCCCAAAACTTTAGAAACTTGGAGAAAGTGAAGTGCCCTGCATTTTTCATTTCGAACCGAATTACTGCAACATTTCTAACCGCCCAAAATGCAGTAACCTCACAGAAAAATAGGTGGAGTCCTCCACTCCACGTACATCTCATGGGCTTAAAGCCTCTGAAGATTTAGTTACATTCTGAAGAAAACACAAAGGAGACAACAAATTTTAAAGAAAAGATCACATAAAATTTTGAAAAGAGAGGTTTTGATTCAGGCAAAATCTCCTTTGAGAAGGATACATCTTCACTACAAAACTGCACAGGTCAGGCAACATTTTAATATGGTATCAACAATTATGTTCTGATAAAGTTGATATCTTATTGTAGGAATTTTCCATGGGTGGAAGAGAATGGCATGTACTGTATCGTATCAGAATACATTTACCACCAGATATTCAGAAAACAATAACTTGAAAATCTATCAGAAGTCAAAAAAGCTAAGCCTCAGAAACAAGGTAATACCTCTTACAGAACTACACTTGTTTTATGAAAACCTATTTTTCAAATATTTATCCCTAACAGTGAAATTAGTTATTTGATTTTAGTCTAGAAACCTTGAACATTTGGCTTACTGTTTAGAAAGTTAAGCCTCAGCTCCTTTGAGATCTCAGTAGGTTTTTGTTATATTATAAATAATCACTCAGCTGTCTAAACATATGGATTAAAAGTAAAAACAAATTACTATTTAATTACTACAGCAAATATCTGTGAAATTTGAGAGGCTATTCTTTTGTGCAACAATGTGACATTAATTCACAGCCAATCAAAGCAAACTGTTACTTAGAGTAATTTTAGGTAGGCAATAAATGTCAACAGATTAAAATAAAAGTCGTAAGAGGTGAGACTTCCCATTTAGCTCAACTAATAAGTTTGACAGTACTTCTATTTTTAAAAAATTAAATGCTCAAAAAGCTTCAACACACACAAAAAAATCTTACTTCATTTGCAAAAAAAAAAAAAGGAAAAACATGCTGTGATGTTGACTCATTCTGAGGGTCTTATAAGAAACAAATTACAAAGAAAATACAGAAAAAATAACAGAAGAATTAGAAAGTGAAGATAGCTTTAAGTTTTTTAACAGTTATTTAAATTAAGCAAGCACAATACATTCACTAAGACTACAAGAACACTCCTCTTCCCAAAATTCACCTTACTTGGGAGATTTCAGAAAGAAAGTTACCTGGCAGAAACTTTGTATCACGTTTACAGGCATTTTATTGGTAATAAATATTAATCCCTTTGCATGAATCTCTTAATAAACACAGCATCATATAAAATCTTGGATAGTTAAAAGTATCAGTAAACCATCACTTACTGTGCAAAGGTTTTATCTGTAAGGTCCACATGGTTAATCTTCACAATGCATTCATTTTCATGGAAAAGCCCATCACGCCTAGATCTGCTATCTTCTTCAATACCACGGACAAAGAGACCCAGCATCCTAAAAGGCAAACAAACAAAAAAAAAAAAAGGGGGAAAACTACTCTTATTCTGGTGGTATGAATTTATAGCAACCAAAAATAGATCTTAATCTCTACTGTGTGCGAGATGAGATACAGTAGACCACTATGAGGTGCCAAACCTAGAGAAAGGATTTCCAGCTCACTAACAGGGAGGGGATTGCAAGAAACATCAAGAAAAAATGCTGGACACTAATGCTATACTACTTGCTAGAACTTCAGGAAGCATTAAGTCCTGTAGGTCATACTTGGAGCGACAGGAAAACACCTAGATCTCCCCATGCAGTTAACAATTTGAATGTAGCTTCTGCAGTATTTGTCTGCCACTAAGTAAGATTACATGGCTTCAAAGAAAAGCACAAATAGATTAAAAGTAATATTCTAACTCGACTACAACAAACTAAATGAGCACTAAAATAAGATAAAAATAATCAGTTACTTCTATGTTTGAAAAGTCTCTGAAACTTATTAGTTGCCAAAGCCCCTTGTTTTGATACATGACAGCAATCTTATTTATTTAAGTGGCAGGAGAACAGCAGAAGATCTAAACCTAAGTGGTTTGTCACCAGGTTATGTACAAACTGAAAACTGAGCAGCACAGAAACTTCTGATCATGCGTCAAACGACCAAGTGTGGGTGGTGCAAGATTCCAGTGTGGCTAACTCTGCCAGGAGCGCTAGGCTACTTCTGAACTACCTGGAGCATCTCTGTACTGCAGACTACAACTCAGCACAGATTTATCCAATGACATCAGTATAGTGTCAAAAAAACCTGACAACTGCACGTTTGTGAAGACCTTTTATAATCAAGTTTTATACCCTAAATTTCCATACCACATCAGCAAAGACAGATGACCTTTAGCAACCATTTTCTATTGGTTATACTCCCCAAGATACTAATGTGCAATTTCCAACATGCCAGCACTCCAATCACAGAACAGGAATCTTGTATTTTTTTCACCAGATTCATGACTGCCCTCATATTTAAGTCCATTCAACGGATTCACAGCATGCCATTAACTATTTCATATGACACTATATTCACTGTGCATCTGACGTTAGATTTACTGTATAATAAGATTTGAAAATCTGTATTTATGTCATAACAATGTACTTTAAGTGAAAACTTGGTTCCTACTGAGTTTTACTTCTTCATCTAACAGAAAAAAATGATTCAACCTATCACATATTCTCCTGCAACCTGCATCACCCTTCACTAAACAATTCAAAGGGGCAGTAGTGGTCAGGGGCCGCAGCCCTACTGACGACAAACATCCAGCTAGCAGCAATCGAAAAACCTAAATAGTAAGAACTAATGAAATACAATTATATTAGGATGCAAACCAATAGAAGCAGAGAAATAAAAGACATCACAGATTAAGTCGGTTGCTTGTTAACCTGTTGTTCTTAGCTGCTGCATCCATATAATGCAATGGGATTGCCCACTTGTCTGAGACTTGTCATGTGTGCTGTAGTACCTGAATGACTGGCTTGAGTTACATGTGCTGTGGCAGATTAAACTCATTGCTCCATTATTTTTTTCCACAGCCTCAATTTTAGCATTATTTTATTCATTAATATATTTATTAAATTTTAATTTCCTTTTTAAAATTATATTTAAGTGCAAAAGAAAGGGGGAAAAAATGTTTCGATTAGTTTTGTAGTTCCTGTATAAACTAAGATTTAAATTAAGATTTTGCAAATTAATACAATGTTTTAACTACCTCTAGAAAAATTTTGCTCTGGAGCAGCAGTAGGCTAAAGTCAGCACTACCTTATTCGAAGATAACCTCACAACTGAAATACCAGACCAAGCTAGTCCTGGCCAGCATTTCAACATAAATTCTATCTTGTCATTAACACAAATAAAAGATGCTCTTCTCTACTTTCTTATGTTATGATAAGTTAAAATTCACACACCAGTCTCAGGTTTGATTAAATAAGAGGGACAAGCGATTTAAGTCACTCTAGTGCTTTTACAAAGATATTGGTATGGTTCTGCCAAGGGTCATTAAAATTTCGAGACAACTGTCTAAACAAGTAGTCCATCTGTCAAAAACTCCTTTGCTCTGAGGGATCCACAAAAGCATTTGTAAATAAGGACATATGAACATGCATGCCATGTAAACCAAGGAACTCCACTTTTTCTGCACCCAACACAACAGTACTTCAGTACACAACTGTATTACAGTCACAATCATTACTGATTTTAGTAGCTTGCAATTTCATCATGTTTTTTACCTAATGATCTTGAAATACAGCGTACACACTACAACCTTTACAGCATGCCTATAACAAAGAACTATTGTTACCCTATAATGAAATGCAGACAAAGACAAGTGCCTTTCTCAAGACAAACAGGCAGTCTGCAAAGCCAAGAACACCACTCAGACCTCCTACAGTTCCCATCAAAGACCAACTTTCTTCTTGAGACAGTGATGATGTTTTTCCAGGCAGAAGGCAGACATCTATTTTCCTTATTGGCAAATAAAACACACTGAATGAATTTGGGTCCACTTGCCAACTCAGAACTCGCTGAGAAAACATTTACACACACAGACCTTTACAAGGCAATTTAATCTTTCACATTCTCTGTCCTACATGAAAGCTGACAAGTAAAGAAACATTAAAGAATTAGACAATTTTTACTTAAGCAGTAATTGTCTTTGTGTTACAGGCAGGCATTTTACTGTAGAGTAGTATCTTTTATGGCATTGGCAATTTCCCATCTCTTATTCAGGGCTGCCAGTGTCAAATTAACTCTCTGGCTAAGCCTCTGTATGTCAAATTTAAGAAAACAGTTATAATGAAAATGCTGACACATTCTTAACTACAGTACATCAATATGAGCACGATGCTATAATAGGCTTTTGTGATCTCAAGAGACTATGTTAAATCATTTATAATTAAAGTAATTGTATTGTGACAAAGAAAAGTTCATGGTATAGTGCACATTTTATAAATGCTATACAACCAAATCTGAAAGGTGGCTTGAAAAATACGAGGCATGACCCGGCAAGCAAATTTTTTTACTTTTCTTGTCTGGTATGTCATTAAGGGCCTATGCAGAGAAATCCAATTGGAAAAAAAACAAACAACAACAACCACCCAAAAAAACCCCACAAATACACCAAATCCCCCAAAACCCAAAAAACCCAACCAAACATAAAACACACAACTGAAACCAAACCCCACATCCACAAAAGCAATCCAACACCACAAAATGCAACCATACCCTAGCCCCTACAACTTTAGTATCACATTATTCTACAGAGAGTCTAGTTTATCATTCAGAGAAAAAAAACAGAGGCAGTTAAAAGGACATATGAACAAAGGGGTTGGTACCATCTTATATGTAACATAGATTACTAAATATTTTGGTAACGGAAAACAGTGTCATAGACCAATTTTCTTTTAAGCATTTCTTTTCCTTATGGTTGAATAGTTGGTATTTTAAGAGAACCACAACTGAAAACTTTTCATTGATATCTCTTGAGCAATGCAGCAAATATCTTACCTTCCACTCAAAGATGAAAAAAAGGGCACTACATGTATTCCTAATGGTCCACCTTCCCCAGAAATCTCCACTGTTTTTGTCATTTCACTAAAAAAGAGCACAGGAAAACACGTCTCATATGCTGCTTCTTAGAATTCTCTATGCTAAAAATAAATCATCAGCAGAAAGATAGAAAAAACATTCAACTCAGAGCTCAGTAATATATAAAAATATGATGAAATGCAAAATGTCTACCAAATTCTTCACTTTTTTTAGACTAGCATTTGTGTACATTGAAAGGGAAAGACACCAAGTACCAGACATTTTTCCTAAGTCAACCCTTATGTAAATTAACCAGAATACTAAAGAATAAGTTATTCTACATGTTCTTAATTTAAGCTTCAAGTGAGCTGCTTTAGTCAATTACCCCATGTGAACACATTATAAACATGAACGTCACATATTAAGGACATCAAGCCAATAAGGAAATTAGCCAAATGATATTTAACTACCTTGATTTCTGCCCTCAGTTGCACAAACAAAGAACAAAACAAACTGTAATCTAAAGTGCAACTCCGCTCATTTTATCAGAAAGTTTCCTTCCTCAAACACCATTATCAAAACCTCCATATTATCTCTGACAGATTTTTGCTGTTTCATGCTATGTGCTGGTTCATTTCCTACTGAGTATTTTACACTGCCAGCCATACAGTGACCTTAACTCTATTCTGGGTGATTATAATTTGAAAAGGAAGGTACTTGAATTGGCTAGAACATTTTTAAAAATGAAAAAAAGAAAGGAGAGAAATGAGTAAGGTCTGTATTCTAGCAGATCACGTTCCTTTCAGTCTGCATCTCTCTCACCTACACGTACATCCTCACTAGTCTGCATCTTCTGTATCGCCCCTTCCCATCAGATCATACTGAACACCATCAACACTTGGGATTAGTGGTCAGTGGACAATTACTGGGTATTTCCCTTTACATTGGAACACCCTAATACATTCAAACTATAAGAAGCTCTACCCTTTGCACACCAATCCTATAGCGTTTACAGAACAGGCAAAACTGAACCAAATAGCCACTTTATGTTCTGCCATGAGTTAAGATTCAGTCTAACTGCTGGCAAGTGCAGGCTGCTGTTTAGAAGACAACTTCTGACCTTTCTCCAAAAACCATGCAACAGACTAGAGTGCATGCTGGGGAGATGAGCAGGATGATCAAGCCGACTCGTCTGCCCCATCCCCCCAAATGATTTTTATCCTCATACAACTTCCTCTGGGATCGGCTGACTGACCTCACCGCCCCACGCTCTTATGATCCTTTGATGCAAGAATCAGCAGAAATGCACAGGTATACGTGAGGAATCTGCGACCACCTTTGAAGTGGCACCACACAGTTACACCCCATTAGATACAAAACAAAAACACACGGCACAGCTGAGCCCTCTGACAGGAAGGACAATTACTGCAAATGACCTTAGACAAATTCTGGCACTGCCTCCTAATAATGCAGGAGTATTTTTTTGTTGTTGTTATGAACCTTTACCATTTGCATAATGATTAAACAGAAGCAACTTGCCCTAGATAGAATAATTCTTAGCTTGGTCAGCTAAATATGGAATAAGACTGGAAAATAAGTTTATACCATTTTCTTTTGGTTTTGGAGTTGGGGGGGTGGGGTGTGTTTTGTTTGTTGAGAGGTTCAGGGAGGGTTTTTTTGTAAGTTGTTCTTCCAAAAAGGCTGACACTGGAATAAATTTGTATTTCATACAAATGAAACTGACAGACCCTGAACAACGAAGCACCACTGATCCCAAGGTTAACAGATTTTCATGCTACTATATTTATAACCCAGGCACAATCAACAAGCATTTCTATTTGCTGATGTTTTGTTTCCTGTATTCCCCTCTCTTTGTGAATCAAACAGGGAAATTCTGACAAAATCTTCCTGTAAGTTTTTTTCAGAAAACATTTTTTTCCTAGTGTAATCGGTCAGCAAAGCTCATCAGGGTGGCTACCAAAAACTCTAAAACGCTTGCTCAGGAAATGAATTCTTTTTTCAGTTCGATCTTCTTCTTCCTCCAATTCTCTCGACAGACTAAACCAAAATTAATTAAAAGGCTACTTTTACTGTCTTTTTGAACTTCTACAGAATCAAAACATACAAGCAAATTAAGTAGCCAAATCCTATAGATCCAGAATATAATCAGAAGTAGTAAACGGGCTTTCATTTGTACAAGGAAAATTTAAATAAGTTACAGTTGTCCCCAGATAACCCTGTGTCGCTTAAGGGAAGAGTTGTCTTGCTAAGCAACTGTAAAATAGAGTAGAAAGTTTTTTGAGGGCCATCACGATAGACAGGTTAGCTGTCATATTAAATCAATGCACTTACAGCTATAAGCAGGCTCAAAGCTAAAGAAAATATACAAGATTATTTTTAAATTCAACATGAAATCTACATACTAAGAAAAATCGGTTTCTTTGTGAAAATAAATGCCCCACATGTACATTGTGTATTACTTTTAAAAACATTGTGGCACATCCTAAAAGTTATGGATCTACTAAAGCTCTAAATATCCAGAATAAGAGCATACTCTGTATGCATACATATAAAAAAGATAATTCAGAATCATATTTTGAATCAAAAATCATGAGCCAGAATGACTTTCATTCTACAACAAATGTGATTCTTAATTACATCTGAGAAGAAAACTGCCCTCACAACAACGTTAATAGATCTTTTAAAACATATTATTTTTATATTATACCTAAGAAAGCCTGATAGTTAAAAAAATTAAAAAGCTGGATATCTGGTATTTAGCTTTCTTTTTGTTTAGGAACCTCAAAAATTAGAGAATCAGAAAAATTTGACATAATTCACTCATGCTGTCCGTCTCCCAGCATTTCTAATCTGCCCACAAGAACAGCTGAATTCCACCAGCATATTATCCCACACCGGCTTACAATTTACACGTAGTGGAGAGAGTATTCAGGAATAAGGCATGGCTGAACGAGATCCTAAATAGGACGAGCTTTAAGAATGCTAATTACTATACTCCACAGGCACAAGGGACACCAAGGTGCTGGGACTCTTCAGTTTGACAGAGTCAAGTTAAAAAACTGAAAGAAGGTGGTGGCAGAATGCAGAATGGCTTTCCACTGCTGGTTGATAGCTGCAATATTGACAAGAGAGAGTAATTTATGGATTTTCTGCAATATTCAGCACATTTAAAAAACAAACACACACCCCAAATAGAAAAAAAATAAATTCCAAAAGTTAGTAACCTACTAGTGACCTACTCCTGTTTTTAAGTCTCCCCTATAAGTCTTAAATGCATTTTGCAGTAAAAGAAAAAACAAGTCTGGCCTATCAAGTCAGTATAAAAGACCTGGAGTCCAACTGCTAGCTGTGGATGAGAGGCTGGGAGCACTGGTGAGCGATGCACGGAAGGTGCCTCAGTGTGCTACACTGCTAGTATCTCCTGCGTGTTCTCCAATGCACTCCAATGCAATACGGAAAGATACATTCTTACAGCAATCAAAATAAGTGAATTTTTAAAAAGCATTTATCTCAGTGAAATTTATCACAGCTGCAGGGCTCACCGTAACTAGAAACGCAGCATTTAGGCTTCTTCAAATGCATGCTGGCATCTCCCTTCCCCTCGCTGCACTGAAGGAGTCTCAGAGAAGAGAGAACACCTGCCTAGCACAACGCCATCGTGACACCCACGACCACATTCAGTGTTGTGCTACTGATTTTTAACCTGAGGAAGCTGTCATCATTTACTATTTAAATTCTTCATTGCTTGATGTTTATTGATTGCTGCCAGATTCTTTAGTCTATCACATTTGTCAGGAAGGCTTGCCATGCATACTATTAAAAACGTTGATGAGTACAGTTTATCAAAGAGAGAGAGAGAGAGAGAGGATGTACACATATGTGTAGTGAGCATGCACAGCAGCCCATTTGTAACATGGAAAGCAAAATTTAAATGGAGTCCTGCATGTTCAGCGGTGCATATTCCGTGGTGAATCAGTCTGATCTTCAGATCGGCAGTGCTGCCCTTGCTGTCGAATACTGCAGCTCGCTCTCCTGAAAACTGCTTCAAGAATTAGCAGTTTGCCAGTTATGCAATGGGAAAAGATCAGTCAGCTGAAAGCTCCTCTGCAGACTACCAAATAATACCGAAGAACCAATCTCAACTACTGAGCACACAGAAGCTTAAAAGGGATCTCTCTCCAGAAATAAACGTTTTGGAGTTTTGCAGCAGAACCCAGTTCACTAAGGCGCTTTGACCTTCCCTGATTACAAATGCTAGGAGAATCTCGGTAGGGTTTCTCTTAGCGAATGCAGCAGATGCAGCCTCCAGCAGATCAACTGTTTTGCAACACATCAAAGACAGTACCTTGAAAAAAGCTGCTTTCTGCATGAGTTACTGGGCAAAACTTGTGACCATGTGTACGTCACAAAAGTCTACTGCCTAAGTACACACAGATCAAATATTTCTCATTCCAAAGGCATATTCTTTTGCCATTTCAGTCTTACTCAACACCTGCACGTAAGTCTTCAAGCCAGGCACAACATGATGAAACAAAAACCTTTCCATAGATCACAGAATTCCTCATATGTTTTAAAGAAAAGGGAGAGATTACTAAGCCACTGTATCTGGAAAAAATCTCTTAGTGTAGGATGTCAACGTTTCCCTTACAAACAGAAAAGCACAGCTGATACTCTGAACATGCTTTGTGGCATTTTTATTAACCGCAGCCAAGTAAAAGGCAAAGGAAATGTCACTTAGATGCAAAGAGCTCACAGATGAAGTTACTGAGCTGCACTTTGTCACTTGTGCCTCCAGCCCCCCCAGCCAATGCTGCCATTCCAGGGGAGGAGAGCATCTGTGAACAAGGGCTGCTGACATTTGCTAGAGAGCACAGACCTACAGGTGATGTGAAGTTATTAAAGCAAATTTTAACGAGGAAGCATACACAGGTTTATCCAAATAAAAAGGCAATGACTCTGTCCAAGTACTTCTTTTGCATATTAAAACAGCACAGTTGCTGATAGTAATGAAGTATCTGTATCCGTTCCTCCAGAGAGGCTTCCAG